TGGTAAGGCAACTTTAAGTTGAGAGATAACTGATGGCTTCAAACCAGCAGCCAGAGTTGTATCTTTTCGCGCGATAGTGATTAAGGAGTTTGAGAGTTTCATTCGCAAACATCCGAAATTTAACATCAACTTCATTATTGGGCTCTTGCTGTCTAAAGAACGTTGGGGGAAATGGTGCTATTGGTAGGGCCCCCACTTGACGTTGTTCGCACCTATTTAGCGCTTCATCTCTAGCTTTTTTGCGGAGTCTATCTTGAAGTTCATCTAAACCACATGCNGATAGTGATTAAGGAGTTTGAGAGTTTCATTCGCAAACATCCGAAATTTAACATCAACTTCATTATTGGGCTCTTGCTGTCTAAAGAACGTTGGGGGAAATGGTGCTATTGGTAGGGCCCCCACTTGACGTTGTTCGCACCTATTTAGCGCTTCATCTCTAGCTTTTTTGCGGAGTCTATCTTGAAGTTCATCTAAACCACATGCGATCCTACGCAAGGTTATCTTAGAAATGGGTTCAGATGGTGAGAAACTCGGCCCCAATTCTAATAACGAGCGCGCACCGTCAGGGAGAGTTAGCCTTGAATTTTCTTGCACATTACCTATCCTAATGTGATCTGTTTGATGTTCTTTAGCGATATTTTTGTGCGCTATTGAAGCTGTATTATGTGATTTACTCAAAAGGTCTTCGAATTTTCTCCGCAAAGCTACTTTAGCATTAGACCTAATAGAGCTGCAAATCAACACTGACCCGCTCACTATTCTCCTCCAGAGGTGGTCCTCCAAATATTTAGCACAAAAGTTTTCCTTCGTCTCGCACTTCTTCCACTTGGCGAACATCTGGTTTTGTCGGCTTCGTAGACAAGTGCGTAGTATTCGCAATTCGACGTCCAATACTTGGTGACTGTCCTCTGGTAGACCGCATACGTCGTGTAGTCGTCTTCGTTTGATGAAGTTCGGAACGACTTGATGTTTTAGACAGCGGCGGAGAAAGTGTATTGACTGTCGAGCTAAGACGATCTTTTGTCTCAGTGACAGCGCTTCTTTTAATCAAGAATCAAGAACACAGGCGCGAAAAACTCTCGAGGCACTCTGGATTAATTCCAGAAATCCGGAAATGAACCGCAGGGAGGAATGCCTCATTATCACGCGTGATATAGGGCAGTACATAAAACTGCTTTTCTGTTGTGAGGGGCACATTATACTTCCACGTGATTTCTGTGCGGTTGGTCTCTACGTGACATACTTAGTGGAAACCTCATAGAAAGCGATGAGTGTGCAAAGCTGTGTTCAAAGTGATTGAAGTCTTGGTTTGGAGTTTCTTTGTTTGGTTATGGAGGCGTCTGGCCGAGTGGGTTGCTGTCAACTTGACCTTTCCAGACTCTGAAGAAGGCGAAATCCGCCGAAACGTCAGCTTAATCGTGAACAAAGAATAGTAACACCTCGCGTTTGCTCAACAAAAATACGAAGAAAATCACTTATATATATATATATATATGTACTGTACTGTTTTGTTCCTCAGGTCAAACTGAACCCAGAATCAACGACTGCAGTAAGGTCGAAGAGAACACTGAAGTATATCAAGAAGTATCAGGCACCTTTGAAGCAGTATCTCTCCAGCGTTCTAACGGTGATTTTAAATATGAAATTTAGAGAGAAATGTGTTTAACGCTGATAGTTAGGTTGGGTAAGCAGTTTGAACATCCTCTATTAGGCTTTGATGAAGAGGTTCAGATCGTTTTCGTTACGCAAAAGTTGTTACAAGTGGGCTCCATTAAAATTAGTAAATGTTTTTTTACGTGTAACTCTGAAACTTTTATTCGTGCTGTATAGAATTTAAGGGTACGGATTATGCCTGATTTCTTCAGATTTTTTCCTTTGAAGTTTTTTGTGGTTTATCATTTTGTCAAGATCAGTTCTGTGTTCTTTGTTATTCGAGCGATCCTCTTGAGCGCTTCAAGTTGTTGAATATTTACATCTTCTAGTTCGTGAACGAAGTTCAAACCTCAGATATCACTGTCACGACGCTTAAAGCAATACTTCGCATCGTTGACCTCTATGCGCTCTTCAGAAGAATAACAAAGAAGTTGTCCAAGGTGTGTTCATGCTTCGTTGACAATCTTTAGGTCCGCAAAATTACTCATCTAATTAAACAATATTTTACAGGTTCTAGTTCGCATTTGGTCACGGAATACCTTGGACTGTCGCGTGGGTGCTTACGTATGCATGACGAAACTGGTTAAAAATCATCCGGAACATTTTGTTGTTTTGTACAAGGTCGAATAGTATTTTTGCTCCTGGAGCTTCTTTCAAACAATAGTTCGTATTTTAGTGTTGTTATCTGGGATTCGTCTCAAACTCTCGTGTGGTCACGAATACAACTTGGCCTCTTCTTCATTTTGCACACAGGTATTGCTCTGTATCTTTTGCCGCAGACGTGTGTGGCGCAGTGGTCAGAAGCCCCTCGCAATGCACAGGAGATCGATCCCTGCCTCCCCTCCCCCCCCCCCCCCCCCACGGGCTTCATCTCTCCGGGGTTCTTGGCAAATTGATACCGAGTTGGTCTTGGGAGGATAGCAGCACTGGCTCGATACATCGTTAGGCCACCACGAGCCACTGTAAAGGCCAGATGTGCATTCAATCCCTTCACCGATGCTTGGTCAAGTCGAATGCATGACGCGTCCCTCAGGAATTGACCAATGCCGAGAGCTTTATCCTTTTATTTTTACCTTTTGCCGTATGTAGTATGTCTCTAACTCGATCCTTTCTGCCAAAATTGCGCAGAGATTTTTGTTTCAATTTTTAAAACCGAGAGGTCTTTTACTTGTTTTGAAACTCAATGCCAAACTATCTCTGTCGAACAAAAAAGGCAGCATCAGTATCTGATTTGGACTTAAGCAGAGCATGGATTGATATGTGAAATTTATTTCGCACCTTTTGATATTTTTCGTCATTGAACTACGACTCGCATTGCAGTTTGTTTAGGACATTCGCTGAATTAACGGTTCTGCATCCGAATTTGGCATATCCCTATGCATTTGTTTATATCCGACAGATTGCAATACATTTAAGGAACGCGACAATTTCCAAAAAACGAAAGGTGGGTAGTATCTTGTGAATAGAAACGGATCAGATATGAAACTGCCCTCTTGTTAAGGATATGGTCCAAACAGTGTATAACTGGCAAGTGATGCAATGTCTATATCTATGGACTCGAGTTGTTTCAAAGGCGCATTCTGTTAACGACTGCGAAGCAATTTCTGAGCTCACTTATCCTCTGATACAGGTTATCTATGGGATTTTAAAGTAAGTCGTAATGGGAGGTTAACGTTAACAACTTCAGTAAGAAGTTCATGGGAGCCTTACAAATGTTGTTTACATTCCATGGGTTCTTATGAGCAGAAAAGCGATTCATCCTATTTTCGGAGTTACAGTTATTTCCAATCCAGTTTTCATTTGCACATGACCGAAGTTGAATTTACCGTCTTCTGTAGAAAAAGACTTAAAGGTTCGGTCTTTAGTGAGAAGATGGTGCAATGATGCATTTGCTTAAGGGCGTGGCGCAATTCCAAACGTTTTTGACCTTTTTGAGTTTCATCAATTGGTAAGGAACTAATTTAAGGTGAAAATGATCATGAGTGGTGCTTAGTTCTGTCTCAAATTTCTTGTGCCACGTCAAACCCACTTCCATTGTTCTTTATCGTTGCAGTTTTTAAAATTAGCTAGTTCTGTATTGTAGTCGTAACAACACCGTAAATGAACACGATGCTGTGTTTATGTAGTTCACGGATATTTCCATTCCGGTCAGGTGGAAGTATTAATATTGTGCTGTTTCTATACTTTTCATACTCATGGATTGACTGCGCTTTAAGTCTAAACTAAATTCGGATTCTGATATATTTGCAAAACTCCTGACCGTAGGCGTTTGTGGTGGGGAACGAACGCGCTATAACCCTTTCCGGGGGCTGACGCTTTCACTACCACATCATGCGGGTCCTTCGTTTTGCCTGTCTCTCAGCTAGTTTTCTATCTAGAAGCTTTGCAAATATCTCAGCATCATTGTGGTCGCATTTCACATAAAACCCTGCCGTGAAAAATTGCTTTAGAGAACAAATAAAAAAGTTAATATCGTAAATTCAGATTGTACCAATCTCTTCGTTATATCCCACTACGCCTTCATTGTATCTCACTTCTCATTCAACTGCAGGCTAATTGCGGGGTTTATGTACCGACAATGACATTTGCTGCAGAAGTTAGTTCTTTGCTGTTTGTCTTGTTAATCTAGCTTACCACATCATCTTTATTTTTAGTTGAAATCATCCACTTCTTTCAGCTTATGAGCGATGTAGAGCTCATTCTGACAAGGAAGCCGAAAACATTAAAGAGTGTAAAAGTACTGGATATAGACTGTTCACTGAAGGTTGCTATTATTTATTGAAATGGGAAAATTATCTCTGTCATAATTCTTGCTTGAAGGTTAACGCCCTCGTACTGGAAGAAATTTCATGGCGAAAAAGTTTGTGTGAACATCTATTTCGAATTATACTACAGGTTGGTGAACTCGTTATGTGTACTCAAAATCTACCCGACTTTAGTTCTAGAATTGCTGGAATTCAAAATTTGGAGCTGTTGATATATCTATTTAATATCGTTTCAGGCTGCACACTTGGTTTGTGCGCAACCATGTTTCCCCGATGCCGTCCTTCCTATAACGTTTAGGGTACTGTTGTTCAAGTCATAAATCACTATAGGAAAATATTATTTTAGTGCACCATAAACATATAATGAGAATGTTTTTGCGTTGATTAGTTCATGTAGTCTTTGCTTCTCTTCTTTCAGCCTGCCACGTGGGACTTGTTGTAGGTGCCGCAGCTCGTAGTCGTAAAGTTGAGTCACCAAACCGAGGTTATAAAAACAGTGCAATGAGATTAGCATATTATAAGGCGCGTTTGGGGTTGTAATAGGGTTAATCTATAGTAATAGCACGATGAGGTTAGTGTATAGAAGGCATATATGAGATTACACAAACTACTGATTAACTAATTACTGGCGATTATTAGGGACGTGATAGCATAGGGTACAATAGCGATTAACTGAAAGGGGGCTAACAATTGGCGTTTACTAGATGAAATAAGGCGGTAAGTTGGATATAACTGCAGAGACACTAACCAAACGAGGAAGATAAGACTCCAAGGCCGGTTAAATGCATTCTGGAGTAGGCGGTGTATGGCCTAACTTCTGAGTCTTCTAGAAAGTACACGCCACCGGCCGCAGCAGTTGAGGACAGCCGATGCAGTTATACAAAATTTTCATTAGAACTCGACACAGTAGCTTGTGCAGATGAGGTGATGTAAACAATGCGACCAGTATCCAAGCGAATGGCGTGGCATTACCCATGCCAGGATGGGGTAGTGAAAGTTGCAGTGTTGAGCCAGTCGGCGATTCTCCTTTACCTGATGGTTGTGGAGAGGTGCTGAGATACGGCAGGCTCTCCGGCCTTGTGTTGTTTAATTATATATGCGATATTAATATAATAGTGCAGAGTACTCTTTAGAGAACAGAGAACGGTCTCGATAGCGTTTTCTTCTTCTTTCAAAAGGACAGTAATTTGCAAGATTGGGAATGCAAAGAACCTATGTTTCTCTGTTATATTACTTTAGGATTTGTTTTTAAACCTGCAGAACTCTTGAGAACTCTGCAAGAGAGTGTGTGGAAGCTATAACAGTCACTTCTGTGGATGTGTACGCTTCAGATTTTCTACGAAATAAATTGCAGGTACGAAATCTCTTACGTAGGATCCGTTCAGGCGAATTTGTCAGATGTTTCCGGGCACTGTTAGAAAAGCTGGAAGAGCATGCAAAATATATAGCAAATATTTTGCTCATGAGAGAATTCAGCCTCAAGGACGATATGCAGATTGTAGGTTCTCTTTTAATTCCATGTTTGTTTCTATAAATTATTAAAAACGATCTCTCCAGCTGGCCTTAAAATCCAGTCTCAGTGATCCAAACTCACCCTTCCGTATATATTACCGGCAGTGGGAGAACGTGTGGCGCATCAGGCAGGGAACCCGAGGGCCAACTACGAAGGTAATAAGCAGTTTCTCTACACAACTATTTTTTCGATATTAACGGTTTCAGGTGGAAGAGAATGACTCAACTGCAAAAGAGAAATCGCTTAAAAGAAAAAGGGAAGTCAAGGAGGTATGTGACTCATTAATGAAATAGCACCTGTTGTTACTATATTATAATTTTTCAGGCTTCTAATATAGTGAATCCTAAGATCCATAAGCCAGCGATAACACCAAGAGTTCAAAAAGATGAAACTATTCCTGATGAATTTGGTGATCTTGGAAACTGGAGCGATAGCGACTGAGCGTGTTTATCAAGGTGTGAACTCAGACTATTCGAAGCAAATGTCCATTTCCTTCTGTTTTTTTCCTCCTCGTTGATATCTTCCGCTGTTTTTCTTTCAAGTTTCTACTAATATCAGTCAATAAAACCTTTTAAACAGTAAGTTTAATAGTAGTTGATATTGCACCAAGTCACGTCAATCTGTACATGCGTGGCAGGACCCTTAAAATGGGTCCCACGGCCGCTTTTCAGTGATGCCAATGTTGTATTTCAATTTAGCATGTGGAGTACCGATGTTTACTGTGACGAACTACGGCAAAAATTATAATTCGACATGATACAACAATTCGAAACTGCACATTTACAGTTAAGCAAAGTCCAAATACACTAATTCAGAAACCTCCACAGATTTAGGTGTTTTTTACATTTTAGATTTGTTAGTAGTTAAAACCAGTTCAAATAAAGAGTTCACATACGTAACGACTTACATTCCGAGCTCAAAGACTAAACAGAATAATTATGGAAATCACGGAAATAGTGATAAAGGTCTAGAGTATAACGAACACTATACAGTAGCGACGACTAAGTGAGAAAAGCACAAATAGTTCTACTTGATCACAAGTCAACGCACTGTGAAGTAATGAGCGACCCGCTGGTGATATCGGTCTGAAAGAATACATTGCATCATGGTGAACACTTAACGATATGTATAGCTAGACCAAATAGTGAGTGCTCCCATGGTCGTCTACGAACTGGTGAAGTCAAGAAGCGCTCGAATCTGCACCATACCCATGATAAACACCATTACTGCTATTGCGTTATACTCATCCAGATTCGTACTTGAGTAAAATCAACTACTTATGGAACAAGGTAACACATTATTCAGACATATGAAATTAAGATAACTATAAAAACCTCGGGTGTTCATCATAAAAACGCTGTCCAAAAATATTGCACAACGTGCTCTTCACGTTTTGGGGGAACCAATGTTGTTTAAGACCTACTTTTTCGAAACAGAACAAGGTATTGCTCGCAATGCACTTAACTTTATTCACTAACACTGCAATTTATTCAGTGCATACTACAGAAAACCTACCTATCACTCGTCATTAGCGCGAAAGAATCCAGCAAAACCACGACGACGCTTCGGGATACTCGATTCCGCTTCTTCCTCGCTTATCTCTCGAATAACAGGTCCCGTGTAGCCACCAGAATTACTTATACGGTTGGTATGGCGAGCATTTCTTAAAAAGTAACATGACGAGCAAGATTCAATATTGGAAACGAACCCATTCACAAAAAAACGCAGACCTTTCTTCCTCCTCATCATCATCTTCCTCTGGCAAAGTAATGATAGGGGCACTATCTCTACTTCTTAAACCTGTATCTGACGAACGATATCGACTGCTGCTTGAAGATCCATCATCCAGTGCACGTCTTGCACTGCAAAAAGAAAAAATAACTAACACGTTATAGTTACACGCACCTATTTTTATGCATACGGTGCGAAAATTGTACCAGTGACGGGGTTTAAGCCGGAATCTCAACTCATGATGAAATTCGCTGCTTGAAATAGAAATCTGTAGATCACTGACGACAAGATGCCAAGTGTTCTCATTCTACTAAGAGGATTCTTTGGCTTTTTTGATATCCTCATCCTGATTCTTTTATACCTTCATTCTGATGCTACGAAACAAACCTTCACTCTTTAATTCATTAAGGTACTCATTTCGTGCATGAAAGGGATTGGACATCAAAGGATTTCATTTAACATCACGACATGATGGTGTTGCGCTGGAAATTTAAGGATTTCAACTGCTTTATTTTTTCAAGAACACTGAACAAAATTAACTTTATATTTTATTCGTTGACTAGTACAATTCTTCTTTGAAGAAAAAACTTAAACTATATTTTATAGAAAAGTACATAGAATTAACGAGATACGGGAGTCTTCATGAACCTCTGATGTACACAGTTTCTCAAATATCTAGTGGTTAAGAAATTATCTCTAATTGTTGAAGGATCAGTATACGATAAACACTACACGTTGACACAAATAATAAGACCACAATTTTCCTTGGCTCTCATGTCGCACCTCACTCGTCTAATTTCGCATATTTTTTGGCAACGAAAACAGTTCGGAAGCTCAAAATTTACCAACTTCAAAGAAAAACTGCTCTACCGGTCTTCTTTAAATCTGATTCTCCAACCTTTCTAATTTCTAAGCTGGTTTATTCAAATCGAAACTTTTGAAGAAAAAAGACTGAAAACAAAGTTCTTGGGAATCTTGTCGTAAGCCCGGTAACAAGAAAAACAAAAAAAGCATACATTTAGGAACATCATAATAGTCCGGAGGCAAGATAACGAGTATCGAATAATTTCTGCGCCAGAAATATGGGACTCATAAAACATGAAATAACTTGTGAGTTCGCGAAAACAGGAATTCCATCTCTGGTTAAGACAATAGCCTCTATTTTTCAACAGATCTGTAGATTCTAACGATTTTCAATTGAACTCACAAAGCCCACTATAAGTTGGAAATACATTTATTTGAACCTGATTGCGGCCACTATTTATGGCCAATTACAGGCTGGGTTCACATCAGGCGTTTTATCTTAAGCATAATAAGTGTTGATAGGGATATAAGATCGATAGGCATACCTCTCACCGTATCCCATGTTAGCTCTTGCTCTGGACTGAAATTCACGATCAAAGTCCTCTGCAGCAGCTATAAATATAAAGTGATACACACATATTTCGCGCAATTCTGTGTATGCACTTCAGCGTTGCTTTGGCGTTTACGTGCTACACAGACACCACTACAAATAACATTCCACCTAACTGGTGACAAGGTCGCTTTGCTAACAGTATTTACTTTTTCTTAAACGAAAAAGTAAGCACATCCTTTAACATCTCCTACTACTTATCATACCATGCTAAAATAAATACACGACAATATTGAAAACTAAGACTGATCGATTTCCTACGCTCATACCGGGATAGTTTCAACGTGTATATTTTCCCTTTTCTTGAGTTATATTAGAGGAATGTCAGAGTAAACGGCTTTATTTGTTTTTATTGCCCACTGTTGCCTGAATAGTTGTGGCAACAGCAACCCATCTATCGTTCTTTCTAACACTGATTCAGACTCGATATGAATAATCACTGAACCATGTTTCATTTGGAAGCTAACACGACATTGCTTTGGAAATCTATTCGGCTGACATTTCCATATCTTTATCTACCTCAGAGCCACGATGAATAGAATCGATTGCCTACAACCTTTTGTCCTTGGGTTTTCGTACACGCATCGAATTCATCTTCTGGAGCACAGTACCGCTTGAACGACATACGCCCACTCGGTGGTGCCCGTTTACACAACACAGCTGTTAAGTGATTGTGCACAGATCAAAACTTGTCTTTCCCCTGATAATCAACCTTTCAGTAGTCGATGTTATATTAGCTTGCACATGATGAAGCAGGTCAATGAAAAAACAGACATTCGTTATTTATTCCAACATCAAACGAAAGACAGTTCTTAAAAATTATAGCTTCGTTATGCGCCAGCTAATTCAGTAGACTGTTCTTGCTTGGAGAAGAGCATACCCACGGATTATCACTCAATGAACAACCTTCTTGTACTTAAAGAGCTTTGCTGAGTGGGAGAAAACTTCGTCTGAAAGATGCTCCCCAATCGAAGATTCGAATGGTGCGACTTCGAAGACAAACACCGCAAAGACGAAGAGCTACGTACAATTATGAACAATGGACTCGAATTATCACGTCTCCGAAAAAGACGAAGACTGCAAAAATTTAGCGGGACAAAGTTTTACTACAATGTCGTGTTAACACAACAATGAAAGACAGTACAAAGAACGAACAGGTTTACTGAACTCTCAAAAAAAAAGCTCAGCAAAAACGACCTACCCTCATCAAGGTTTACAAATCGCTGCTGGCGACGGACTTTGCCATCTTTATCTCGTTTCTTCTCAATGATATGAGTCCGATCACCAATTGTATGACCAATAGCCAATTCCTCCCTCGCACCATCACGAACCCTTCTACAAAACGAGAAGAAATACGACATATCAAATCGATAACAAAGCTCTAGTGACCTTCGTGTTTCCTTGACATCGCCACTTTTTCGTAGCGAATTTTCAACCACTCTCGGTTGACCGTCACTACCGAAAGACACCATAGTTGACTGCGAGTAAACATGGGAACGAGGGTCGCTCATAGCTCGTTCTTGCAAGTCCTCCTTAACCAAATGGGAAACTTCATATGTAAGTGCGTCTATACTTTAGGTAAAGTATCTAATTAACTAACCATCGCACTGAAAAGACCTCCAAATCCTCGGAACGGATCGAATGGTCGAGCGAGTTGACGAGATGGTGAGCCGAGTAGAGGACCCTGGTAAAGAAGTGTTACGGTAGTGGAAAATAACGGCGGGATTTCCCACCACGAAATTTAACACCTAAAAACCATGCGCTACATATTTCATATGTCATAATAGGTACTAAAACTATTTCCTATAATTCTTGTTCGCTACTGTAAATAACTCCAAAGCTTGTTTTCTGCTTAACAATTTGCAGTGAATTAATTTTTCTAAAAGTGGTATACAACCATTTCTTAACGGTTTAAATAACGCTCTCAAAGCATAAAAACCCGCAAAGTTTTGCCTAATGAGTACAACACTGGAAATAAAACAGCGATATCAATTCGAAATGCAATCAAAGCGTGGAATATTGACGACCTTTCAATGGTATAACTTGTACAGATAGTTCCTAAGGTTCCGAATCCTAGACTATGTAGAACATGAACTTTTACTGGTTCACAAAGCCTCTTCAAAACTTTTTTAGGTTGTAGGAAAACGCAACATTTGGACTGAAACAATTGCTCGCCATTTGAAACACACTGGGAAAGTTAAAAAGTTGGATAACTAGCCTCCGCATAAACTAGTGGTAGTCAGATTTCATCACGAATCCTGTTTCTTCCACACAATAGAAACATCCCTTAATCCCAAGTGCTGAAAACCAGACCGTAGACAACCGACGCGACCAACTATTGCGATGAGATGAAAATCCTTAGCGTTTTCAAATCCTAATTTGCCTTAAACCACCCAACAGTATACCGTCTTTACCATGAGTTGGAGGTTCCCTGGCTGTAGGACTGCCTTGTACAGCGGGTGTCCACACACCCAGCAGGACGTTCTAAGGTGAACAGTCTAGAGTTCCCATCATGAAGCCCAGCTAAGAGCAAACCAATACCAGGATCCACCACCATCCTGATCCCAAACTGGTTGCATGGAGACAATCTCTGATCCACAACGGCGGCGACAAGCTAGTGTGATGACGGCCTGAGGAAGGTTTAGGATAGACTGACCTTAGAACTCCAGGGAACCACAGTGGCTAAAACAGCAAATGTAAATTGTGCTGGGGCTCACACAACCACTGAAGACGGACCATCAAAGTATGTTATTTGCATTAAAAGATGGTTTTGCTTTTGATTTTCCGCCATTAATCAATTACCACTAACTTTTCAAGTATCTTAGAAACTTGTGGTTCGGAAAATCTCCAGCAACCAAACCACTGCTAAAAATCCCTCCAAAGGATTGCAAAACCTGTAAACTCCACAATTTTATATTGGTAGAATGAACAATAAGTCTTTTTTAAGGCAAAAAGTGAATTCTCATTGTTCTTACCTTTACCAGTAAATATGCCTTTGTATCTAGTCACAATAACTAGGAATTCAATGCTCGAAACCGTTACTGTTTTTGTATCGAACTAAATCTTTCTTATGAAACAGCATACTGCACAAATTTGCAATGTTGCGCTTTACAGCAAATACACCAAGTATTGTACTGTCATCAAACACCCCGAAACCATCGCCAATAAAAAGGATTTATGTAAATGCGGGTAAGATAATTTCATGGTCAGTGACAAATGCATATAAAGAGATGGTCAGTTATCTTTAGAGCTTTATGTCACTCTATTACGTCTAGCAACAATAACCGACCTCAACAACGAGACAATGTCACCAAACCTCATTCTCGATTCTGTCTATCTTCACCCTTTGGAACTCTTGGTCCTAAATTATGAAACACCTGCTTTACACCCTTCGCATTTGCGACGATGTAACAGTAAATTATTTAAAAGTGTGTACTAAACTAAGAACATGCTTATTTCTTATTTGTGCGTGGTTTCCATATGTATTCCTGGTAAAGGAACAAAGGATAAAGCTTTCGGCGTTGATCAATCTCTGAGGAATGCACCATGCCCTTAACTTCATTAATCATCGATAGAGGTGACTAAATGCATATTTGGCCTTTAAAATGACTCGCTGTCCCCTACCGGTGTACCAAGCCACTGCTGCTTTCCTACCAGACAAGTCTGGTACCACTTTGCAGACTCCGAATGGACGGAAGGCAAGGCTGCGGCGCGGGTGCTCCTGGTATAAAACGCAAATCAGTTTGGGTTTCAGAGATAACCACTGTGACCAACAAAATAATCGGCTTCGTGAAAACAATACGATTTTGCATTTCTAGCCGTTAACTTCTTAATTTTATTAAAGCACTACGGGCGTCTCTTTGCAATGTTCGTTAGCGAGATTGTCGATGTGAGAGATACTCTATCAGCAACTCTTTTGCAACCCCAACTATTTTCAATAAGTAAACTGTTTCTCAAAACTTCGAAAAACCTTGAGCTTCATACTGGTAAAAATGTGTAGATCACATCATATTTGCGCTTTTTGCATTCACTAAGAAAACTGTGGACGGAAATGTGCATTCTGAAGCACTGCAGGTCAACGGACAAAAAAACCTGGTTAACAACCAGTCATTATTTTCTGTCCACTTAAAATACATCTTAGTCGCCAACGTGGAATCGTGGTAACGAATTTTCAAACTTCCGTGATGAATCCGTTAGTACCTTACATCGAACCCATGTTCAACAAAACGATTATCACCAAGTGCCTCAGCCTCAGCGATGTATAAATTACATCCATTAGGTATTAAATGATTTGATCGCACATCATGTGGGTCCTATCACTTTCAGTACTTCGAACGTCTTGTAAATACCATCTGTTAAGAACACCTGAGCGTGCAGTTGTCCAGTACCTCGATTTAGCAACGATAGGACGTTCCCAAATATATGGATATTTGGATTGCCCGTCCTCACTGGTTGTGCGGGCCTCAGCGCGATTTACATTTCTTTAGTTTTGGTTGTCTATACACGATGGTTCCCCAAGCACACCCTCGCCGAAGTCTGCCCTAAGTCGTCACCACGACAGGTGTGTGGTTTAGAGGGAGATTCGCCACCACGCGACTAGTCTGATACCAGGACGGTGGTGGATCTTGGCATTGGTTTACCTTCAGCCAGGTTTCCTGGTGGAAACGCCAGACTCCTCTCCTTGGAAGACTTGGGAGTGTTTTCAAAGAATGAAGGAGAATTGCCACAACCATCTAACAAAGGTGTTCTACCTCTGACCAGCACTACTCCAGAAAAGCAGTGAAGCCCGTAATCAGTAGACACAGCAGCTGAAAATGATGTGATACGTAAGATCCGAAATCCATGCTGAGCTGAGATACTCAACGATATAAAAGGACCGCAAACAGGTTACAACAGTTCTTATTTCCTTCACGTTCACTTGAAACAAAAGCAATCCGCACGTTAGCGCTTCAAAATTTATCCAAGTAGATGACTAACAAAGAGGTAGCCCTCATCGGTGGTTGAACAGTCACTAATTAGTTATAGATATAGGAAGGTAGACACATATCTTACCATGTTAAGTCAACACGGATAAGAAAGTCTTTTGCCTGAACTCGTATGTTAGCGCTACTTTTTCAAAGACTCTGAAGAACAAATATCTAACTCTTCATTCTCAGAAAAAAAGTTCATACTATTCGCATAGTAACGGGACGTATGGAGAACCCATCCCTAGTAAAGTCTCGAATCATTTAGTGACCAAAAGGTGAACTCTGGTATACCTTGATGGGACAGGCAGATGAATCGTGCAGTTATTTTTAACAACGCCAACAAACCAGTGCCACTACTTTGCTTATTTCTTTTAGCAAAAAAACTTGTAGGCGTATCATACTTACTTCTAGCATTCCCATTCCACCTAGCATCCCAAATGGATCCATCATTGCATTCATCATGCGGTCCATCTCTCGGAATTGGCGTTGGATGTTCCTAAAGAACAGCTTACTTCATCCATGATATTACGTTTACCACCGGTGTAAACAAAATAAAGGTTTAAGAGAATGAGCGAAATAGGAAGAGTGAAAAGTCACTTGCCAACCTGTGAACACCGAATCCGAAGAAATCATCGTCATTAAACATATTGAAAAGAATGCACGGAACGACTTACCCTGAAATTTGTATCACATGGGCAATTACAATGAAACATTAGGGTAACAAACAAAAAGTTGCGCCAATGAAACACGAACGCTGGGCCAAGATGGTGACACAATTCGCTCACACTCTTAGTATTTCCTTCAGTTCATGCGCCCATTCATAACAACATGGTGTGGTTTGGACTTGCACCGGGATTGGTCCAACAGGCACTGGACCCTTTCCACGACAAGCAAATGGGGCTGTATGCCTCCACCCACGACCAGAGGAGCAGAGGCGACGTGATAGCACGCCTCCCATAAGGAATGATAGAGTCGCACTCACAAGGAGAGATAAAACGAATTGTTTCTACGGGAGTCCTGCAACACAAATATTTTTGGGGAAGGCAGCCGCCGGACGCTACAACCAATCAGCTGATAGTGATGATGTTTTGTTCTCGAATGTTCATGCAAGTCGATACATCGTGTCAGGACCTCAAGTGCCACTGTCACAGAGAAACTCGTCTATATGGGCGTTGGAGCTCAACTCATTTGGGGACCAATGTGCGACTATGTGTAGAAAGTAATTTTCACGTATCATCTTTATAATTCCTATGTTGTTACGTCAATCGTTCGATCTAAGTATGCTATTTTTATTGTTGTTTTGAGATCTATAGCGTTATTCCCACGGTGTCACGAGGCTACATGGGGCGTCCCCTGGTGGACGATGGGGGTTTAATCGCGGTCCAAAAGCGACCTCTGCTTCCCTGACACGCAGGTGGATCTCTGTTTCTGCTACGCCAATTTGCACATACTTTTTGTATTGTATTCTACGAATTGTTTGAATTCGGCCAAAAACCTGCATTAAAGTGACATAGAAGTATATGGGACGCGGTTAGGAGTCGCCTCCAACAAATAAGCTCCATGTCCACTCTGGGAGAACTTGGCAAATTACCCGTGAGTATACCCAGCCCCATGTTCAGAACCCAGCAAGCTATACGTGGGTATCAAAGTGCTAAAAGCAGTAAAAGAAACGGATTCATTCCCCTGAACCCGAAAGAGCCCCCGATTCGGTAGCGTTGGTTAGGGTGAGAACGGAGAGGTTGCTAAAATTTCAGGACGCTTCTAAGCTGCTTAAACCGCAAGGAACTAAGGTGTTGATGTGTACCTACAATGCGTACATTCATGGTAAATGGTCGCACACTTGCATCCGCGTCCTCTTGATCATGCACTTGATCATGCAAGGAAGGAGGGCAAGGCACGACATCATCGCACTGGCCGAGACGAAAAGATGCAACCCCTTCAACGCCGTCTGTGATACCGGAGAGGAACGATACCACTATTCCTCGGAAAATGTGACAATAAAGGAGTCGGTGGCATCGGCGTTCTCATCAACACGAGTTTGTCCTGAACATCGATCCAATTGAACAGTTCACAACCCGAATCGGACGTTTACAAATAAGAAGATGTGGATCAATATCGGCTTTGACAATCCTCGTCGTTTACGCGCCCGACAAACTATGACGAAGAAGAAGTCGAAGCGTTCTATATGGAATTGGAGAAGTTCTATAAAGAAGACCATACATTCTTCAATGCCATAATTGGAGATTTTAACGCGATTAGACCAAGAAGAACGCCTGAAGAACGTTACATTGGGACCCACGGATTAGAATGGAGGAACAGGGTGAGCGGCTATCTGAGTTTACCATGACGACCAAGACAATCCATAGTAACTCACAATTCCAGAAGCCTCATCCTCAGTACTGGACGTGAGAGTCTCGCAATGGAGAGTGCCATAATGAAATAGACCGCATCATAGTAAATAAAAGGTTTTGCCTAACCGATGTCGCTGTTGTTCCAAAATTCTACACGTGATCAGACCATCGCATCCTTCAAGCAAGATTCTATTTCTCGCGGAAAGGAGAAAAGACCGCTAAATTCAAAAACCGAAGTCCCGGAACCACCGTAAACTAGGACTTATTCAATTCATTAGTCGGCTGCTGGGAAGATGCCGTTCTCTACAACATCAACGAGGAATGCGATCGGCTTATTCAACATCTTCATGTTAGCGCTGTGAAAGGTGAGGACTCGAAAATCATCAAGAGACGTCTATCTCCAGAAACACTCGAGCTTATACACCGCCGTAGAATCGCATGAGCTGCAGACAAACGCCAACTCACGTCCGAACTTGTGAAATAATGCAGATAGGCGATAAAGGAGGATCTTGAAAAGAGAAGAGCAGCGGTAATGGTCGAAGCTGCAGAGGTTGGGAAAAGCATTAGCAAAACCCACTCAAGTATCGCCAATGATAAAACCAGGATGATTGCACTCCAACGGCCAGGCGGCACAGTTACAGCGTCCAGAGAGGCAATGGAGAAAATCATTGACGAATACTACTCAGATTTCTTCAATAGCCACGTCCTATTTACCTCATATGAAATAAAAGAAGATCGATATGTCATATCACGGGTTCTCCCTTCCGAAATCTGACGTGCTATTTCATCGGTGAAAAATCGAACAGCACCAGGTCCAGGAAGGATAAGATCTGAACACTTGGACAACCTTCCGCCAGTCCTCATAAACACACTGGCTCAGGCCTTCACACGTTACCTGTCTGAATGCAAGGTCCCTACTCAATGGAAGACCAGAAAGACCGTGTTATTGTTCAAGAAGGGGCCTGCACGATATCGGCAACTATCGCCCAATCTGCTTATTGTTTGTCGTCTACAAACTTTTCACTCGAGTTATCCTAAACAGGATTGTCAGAACACTGGACGAAGGACAGCCATGTGAGCAAGCAGGGATTCGAAAGGGATTTAGTAAGATGGACCACATCCACACGATAACAAGGCTCATTGACGTATCGCGAGAGTACGAAAAACTGCTCTGTCTCACTTTCATCGATTTACAGAAGGCCTTTGATTCAGTTGGGATAGAAGCAGTCTTTGAGGCTCTTGATAGTCAAGGAGCCCCTGCTCAGTGTATAAAGATTCTTCGTGAACTGTACAAAGATTTCACCAGCAAAATATCACCATTCTACAACGATATTATCATTGATTTGAAAAGAGGGTTTAGGCAAGACGACATCATCTCCCCAAAATTATTTACCGCTACTCTCCAGAACGTGATGGGAACATTGGAATGGGATAATATGAGAGTGAAAATCGATGATCAGCTGTTACACCGTCTCCGCTTTGCTGATGACATCGTCCTTATAACACCAAACATTAGCCAAGCGGAACGTATGCTTGCCGATTTTGACAAACCCTGTGGAAAGATTGGTCTTCGACCAAGTCTTACAAAAGTGACATTCATGAGAAACGGATTGGTTTCGTATGCCCCATTCACGCTCAGCGGAACGAATATCTCCGAATGCTCCAGTAATGTCTATCTAGGTCGGGAAATGAATATATTGAACGACTTAGCTCCAGAGCTGAGCAGAAGGAAACGAGCGGCTTGGATAGCGTTCAAGAGCATCGAGGATCTAGTGAAGAGAACAAAGAACACGCGACTCCGTGCCCATCTTTTCGACTCAACGGCACTTCCTACCTTAACGTCTGCGTCAGGAACGTGACCACTACGTAAGCAAGATGAAGATCACTCCGCGTTATTAAACGCGCAATGAAAAGAACGATGCTAGGAGTATTCCGTGTCGCCCAAGTAAGGGATGGGATCCGAAGCGCCGATCTGCGTCAATGTTCAAAAATCAATGGTGCCATTCTATACTCCAAACAGTCGAAGATAAGGTAGGCCGGACACGTAATGCGTATGAATGACAACCGTTAGACAAGAGCCGTTAGTGACTGGATTCCTCGCGATGTTAAACGTACTGCAGGAAGACCACCGACCCGATGGTCAGAGTTCTTCATAAAGAGCCTTGAATAAAGATGTGATGGTCGGCGAGTCCCTGGAGCGAGTAGAACCCACTGGACTACGCTTGCAGGCGACAGGGAAAAATGTAAGATTTGCTGAGGCCCGCTCGGGTCACTCGACGATCAAAGGGGCTACAGGTGATACAGGTGATGTTCGCACACTGGAACTCCCTCATACTTTAAGTTCTGATACTGGACTATTTTAGCGGGTACTCTTCCTTTGGGGGTTCTAAGATGGCTTATGCGGAAACCGGATGTTGCATCTTCTGGTTAGAGAGACTGGGGCAAATGGGTAGCGTATGGGGGATTTATTTAACCTGCCCGAGGTAAGGGACTGGTGTAGCGCCTTAGTCGGAGGCGCTCTGCAATATGCATGGGATCGATCCCCAAGCCTCTGGCCCATGGAGACCTCCATCCTTCTGTGGTCGGCAGATTGGTACCAGACTTGTCTGGGAGGGTAGCAGCACTGGCTCGATACATCGGCAAACCACCACGAGTCATTGTAAAGGCTAGATATGCATTCAATCACATCCAACGATGCTTAATGAAGTCTAATACTTGGCACATCTCTCTGGCACTGATCAGCATCCTTTATCCTTTACCTTGAGACAGGATTTGACTACGTGGATGGTCCACTTGTCCCTTTTCCTGGACAATACGTGTACAATGTAATCACGTTTTATTTACTGCCTATTGTTTTTTAATGGTAGGGTGTAATGTGAAATACAGCTACAGTGGTGCTCAAATATTTGCAAACTTAGGACCGGAGGTGTTTGCGGCGGGAATTTGTCTTCGTTAATACCCTTTCTGGGAGCTAACGTGTTTGGCACCACATCGTTCGTTTCGCCTTTCTCTGAGTTGTGTTTTATAGGCGCTATCAGCAATCATCCGTGAACGAGATCTATCTGGGGTGCGCAAATCGGCACTGAACCCAGTTAAGGTGAGGCCAACGTGGTCCGATCGCCGCCGGAGACACTTACGATCCGGGGTTTTGCAAATATTTCAGCATCATTGTAGTTATACGTTTATGTGTCATATGCATGCATACGTTCATAAGTCTGTATATGTGCAGTTTGTATCCTTCTTTCAAAAGCCTTCCGTCAAGCTAGGCCTAAGCCAACAAATAAGCCGTAACCACACCGGGTTGTGGATGTACCCAGCACCCAAGACTTAGACTGGTCGGTACACCGTGGCTGTCTGATTTTAAAAAAAACCATGAAAGTAGAGAATGTTTTCCGTTTCGATGTATAACAAACAATGAAATTAGGATAACAAGCTTTGCCCTAAAACGTTATAGATGACTTTCTTCACTGGCATTATTTCAGTATGTCGGATGACGAAACTACACGTAACAGGAAGACAGAAGCAAGCCTAGGTGACAGTGAAGAGTGGAAATCCACTTTTCCAGAAATGTTGCCTAAGAAGGACATCTACAGCCGTTTCGTGAGCAACTTCGAGAACGCCTTGAGTTCGTTGACCAGCACTGTGAGCAGTGCGGTGGGAACAGGTGCAGATCAGTTCTTGCATGATAATTTGATCAGCTTATATTAGTCTTGGTGAGACAGTTTGGAAGTCCCCATATTGATGTCCCCAGGGCTAAGAATTGTCGAACTCTTACTAGTGATTAATAGGTAGTTCTGATTAGCGAACTATTAGGTGTTTACACATGCTGCGCCCAATTTTATGTGTTGCCCATTAGGGACTACACCTTTATCGTTAAGTAATGTGCATTGGAATCAATGCACATAGCTCTGTCTCTGTGTATGTCCTTCATCCTATCACCGAAGAAAACCATCTCACCTCCTTGTTCGTAGTTTTGTAGTTTTCATTCTACATTTCTCCTTTTCCTCACTCTTGAACTCATTCACATACTTTTGCGTTTTAGGCTTACCATCTTATGATTGACGTGTAGTGTTGCTGTTGTAGTATGCAAGTACAAAAGTTTTTCCAACGGTTTATCGCCCCATCGTGGTTGGGAAGTGTTCCTGGACGTTGGGCTGCGATGTACAACGGCGAGATTCATCTCTCTAGCAGGATCTCCCAAGCTGGGAAGGTGTCCGGCGTTTCCACCGTTAAGCCCAGCTAAGAGTAAACCAACACTGGGATCCACCATCGTCCTGGTATCAGATTAATCGCATGGTGGCAAATCTCCCTTTGATCCACAAGGGCGGCGACTGCCTGTGGTGGTGACGACCTGGGGCAGACTTTGACCTGGCTGACCTCGGGACATCAGGACAACGGGGCACCACAATGGCTAAACCAGAAAAACTCCGAAACAATAGAAATTATGCGAGAGCCTGCACAAGCAATGAAAACGGGCCATCCAGGTATCCAGTTAAGTACAAAAACACCCTAGAATTCACAGCGGGATCCAAAATTGAGCGAATAAACCCATTTTAGAAGTGATTTTGTTAATTATTAGGCGTAGACAACAGCTTTTTACTGCACCTGATATCATAAGTTATCGGTTGAATACAAAAAGGGTATCAAGAAGCTAAGTGCTACAAAATGAAAGGCGGGAAAGAATGTTCCTGAGATCGATGCATACGGTCTGTCTTATCTTCACCTGCGTCAGTGTCATCGTATGCAGTAATTTATTTTTTTTAGAGTGTACCAGGTTATTCTCACGCTACATCCATTTATATGTTTGTTATTCAGAGGGCCGTTGCTTGAAGAAGTCCAAACTTCGAGCATTTTCATTGGAAGGTATTGCCGAGTACATCAAAACTGAACGACCCTGCAATGTCATTGTGATGAGTGGTGCGGGTATCTCCACATCTGCTGGAATTCCTGACTTCAGGAGTCCAGGTATGTTGCAATTTTTTGGTTCCAATGAAACATCCATAGTATTATTAACACTTAACACTATATAATGCTGAGATATTTGCAAAACTCCCGACCGCAGGTGTATGCGGTGGGAAGTTACCAATCCCATCAGCAACGAATGCGCTATTGTCCTTTCCGGGGAGTAGCGCACTTCACCACCACACCATCCGGGTCCTTCGTTTTGCCTGTCTCTCAACTAGTTCTATTGTTCTTTTGCCATCAGCAATCACCCGTCCTAAACACTAAACACTATGTTATACAACCATAATGGTGCTGAGATATTTGCAAAGCTGTGGACCGCAGGTGTTTGCAGTGAGGAACGAACGCACTATTAGCCTTTCCGGGGGCTTACGCGTTCACCACCACACTCTGCGTGTCTTTCGTTTCGCCTTTCTCTCAGTTAGTTTTCTATCTACCAATCCCATCAGCAATCACCTGTTAACGAGATTGATGTGATGAGCCTAAATCAGCAGTAAACCCAGCGATAAACACTGTATTAAGGAAGCGGTCTCTACAATAACTTGCAGAAGTATAACCTTCCTGATCCACAACTAATCTTCGATATTTCTTTTTTCTATAAGAACCCTGAGCCTTTCTTCGATTTGTCCAAGGAACTTTTCCCAGTTAATCTCAAGGTAATTTTTCAAAGGTTTTCACTCATTTCTGGCTATTTTTCATCCTTTCTTTCGAAGTACGTTTTTCAAGCTTTGCTTTTGTGTTCATTTTTAAGCCAACGCTTTGTCACTATTTTGTGAGACTGTTAGATAAGAAAGGAATTCTACGGAGATGGTTCACACAGGTGAGTTAACTTCTTTGAAAGTAAATTTTTTATTTTTGTGGTATTTCAGATTGTACAAAGGAGTTTCTAGCACTTTTTTTTGTTTCCTTGGCGTAAGTTATTACGACCAGGCTAAGAAATCCGTTTCAAATATTCTTTGCGTGTCTTCGGTTTTTCTAGTTTTTGATTTTTTTAAATAAGTTCTTTGCAAGATATTGTACCCTCCATTAACAAAAGAGCACTGCCACTTTAAGAGTAGCACATTTCAAGATTTGGTCCAAACTTTGTTGTAGGGAAGAAATTAGAAATGCTCCTTTCTTTCGCAGGAACATTAACCTGAGTTTAATGAATGAAACAAAGGGTACGTGACATATTCCAGCTGTTTCTGTGTTCACAGTTTGCAATCTGCCGCTCCGTTGTCTGTTTTATAGGATAATAGCCCTCTGGGATACCTCCCAGCCCCCACAGTGCCTGGACTCAGCAGTGTTTTCCATCACTCACTGCAGTGCCCCGTGCTAGACAAACTTTTCGAAGCCCAAAGTCCAATCGGAAAGGTCGGTGATTGGTTCAAATTTCTTTTCTTCAAGAATTGAGATCTTTTCATTGAATCGAATGTGACAAATATGGAAGGTAGTGAGGGTGGGAGATAAGAACTAATGAAATCTTTCATTTCCACCATTGCACTTTGGCTCTTATACCTTTATAATACAACCAGTGCATATATCGTTCCAATTAATTTTTATATTTGCTTTTTCATTTACTGTCTACTACAGTTTTTCACGGCAGAGTATTATGTGAAATACAACCACAATTATGCTGAGCCATTTGCAAAACTCCGAATGGCAGGTATCTGCAGTGGCGATCGAACCCGCTACTACCCTTTCCGGGAGTCGACGTCTTCACCACCACACCATGGGTGGCCTTCGTTTCGTGCCTATAAAACACTGCTGAGAGAAAGGCGAGACGAAGGACAAGCATAGTGTAGTGGTCAACACGTTAGCTCCCGAAAACGGTAATAGCGGGTTTCATCTCCACTGCAGACACCTGGAGTCCGAAGTTTTGCAAATATCTTAGTATCATTGTAGTTTAATTTTTATATTGTTTCTGGTGTTATCCATTGACTTTGAAGAATATCGACTCGTTGGAGTTTCTAACTGGAATATCCGAAGATAAAGTAGTTGCTGCACATGGTTCATGTCGCACAAGTACGTGCATAACGTGCGGAAAGAAGTTCGATCTACAGTGGCTAACAAGTACGTGCATATTTTATTGTTTCCAGCTTCAAATGGTTCAATTTATTTTACTTCCATGTGAACACATGTTTAAGATCATATGAATAGTAAAGGCGGTGTGGTGCCCAGGTGCGATAAGTGTGAAGGTGTAGTCAAACCGGACATAACATTTTTCGGTGAAAATTTGCCGAAACGTTTTTTCCAATGCGCACTTTCTGTGAGTGCTTCCATGTTTTTATTTTCCTACCAACTTAGAAGATTTTGACTTACTCAGTTTAATCAATTTTTAGGATTTTCCAAAGTGCGACCTTCTGCTGATCATGGGAACTTCTTTAGTTGTACAACCGTTTGCTAACTTGGTGAATGAGGTAGGTCTCATGTATCTAATGAGCTTCCACACATTGTGATTCTATTTGGGTATGCCTTCATTTCATTAAAAAAAAATCGTTTACTTTACAAGACTAGCTATGACATATACTATGAGGATCCCAACACTACTGGCCTTCAATTCGTTTTCCTGGCAATAATCATCCACAGAGGTCTTCGGTCATTTCGTGTTTTGTTCCGGCTGTTGCTTGAGGATTACTCTTCTATATGAGTGTCGTAGAATGCTGGTCGAGTCGACTGTCCTTTCAATCTTGGAGATAGTTGAGCCAAGGAGTCTCCGCGTTCATTGTGGGAGAACTTTGTGGTGGGGGTTGAACCAGCATTTTGTTTCCTGATGGAATGCGTGACTAACCACTGCCCTACCTCATACATACTTACTTATTTACTTGGATACTTGAACGACCCGTCTTCACTGGTTCTGCGGGCCCAATCATTGGGCTTGTGATGAAAACCTCTGACTCTTTATCAGCTTGGAAGACCTTACTTGTGTAGGTGAACACTCCGCTGAACATCGCAGTCCGAGACCCGAGAACACCTTTCAGCCACAATGATGCGGTAAACATTTGGGAAGTGGAGGAAAATGAACATCTAAATATTGTCCGTGCTTTCCAAACCGTCTGTTGTAGGTAACCGAAGATATTCCACGTTTACTAATCAACAAAGAAGAAGTCGGGCGTACCAGCGAGTTTGAACGTGCCCTAGGGTTTTCAGGACTCTGTTACGGGTTGAAAGACAATAAAAGGTGAGGATGAACTTTTGTTTTTTCTTCCATTAGCATCGATTTGTATCTCTTTCTACTAATCAGTTATGCCTTAAAACCACATTCTATCCTTATCCTTCGACTTTGGTAAATCTAGGAAGTGCATGTGTTTAGATTTTTGAATATTTTCTCTATCATTCAATGTTTTTATTCTTTCTAAGGTTTGCATTTTGAGTAGTGCTGTTTGAGAATTTTTTTTCATAGAGTGAATAGAGGAACTGAGTTTCTTTTTTAACTGTGTAAATTTTCACTTTTCAAGTAAAATATGTTTTGCTAATCTGAGAGAATTTTTAGAGTTTGTTCTTCTTTGTTGTGGTTTAGGTGTTGAGGTCGAAAACTAATACCGGGATTAAAACTGTCGGATCCCTTAAATTTCTGCAAAATGTTAATATTTTTGAAGAGTTTTCACTTGTTTGAACAACTCCACGCAACGTCATGACAATGATTCTTGTGCCTTCTTCTTAGTTCTTTGAGATAATGGCCATAATTTGTCTAAAAAGGATGTTAGAAGTGAACAGAAATGTGATTTAAGAAAAGGCAGTGCAGCGAACCACAAAAAATTTTCCTTAGCTTTACATTATCCCTAGTTTTGTGCACCTCAATCCATTATTTACTCCTTTCCTGTTTTTTCACCGAACTGTTCAGAATTGGTCCATATGTTGCAGTTATGGGTATCCGTAGTTCTCGCTAGTATACAATTTCTGGTTTGTAATTTTATGAGGGTTATAAAGAGAGGTTCTAACTTTAAAAACAGTTTAGTACAGACCATACGGAAAACTGGTCGTTTCGCTTTTCGTGCGTTAAAAGGACTTCCAGCAAATAACAGGTGCTGGATTAAGGCGGTGCATATAGTCAGGGATGAAAATCGAAGCGCAATCTGAGTCATTTTGGCGTCGTTCAATCAGAAATTGGTACAACTTGTGTGTACAACGATACAGTCCAATTTATACACTCTATTCGGTAACTTGAAAGAAGAATTCATACAGTTATGTTGCTACTATTTAAGATTTAGTGCTTACACTTTAGGGATGTGTTCTGGGGTGGTTCTTGTGATGATGGATGTAAACGTCTGGCTGAGCTTCTTGATTGGGAACACGAGCTAGACCACCTTATTCAGGAAGGTGAGCTAAGGTATAATTCACAATGAGATCCGTTTATGTTTTGTCTTGGACTGTAATATTATTGTATTGATTTCTTGTTCTTTAATGCTGTAGATAATATGAATGCGTCGTTTTCTCGTTCAGCAATCGCGAGGTTGTTAACAGTATACATTTACGTCCATAATGAACGCGATTGCTGAACAAGAAAACGTCGCATTCATATTCCTATGCCGACGTTAATAGAAAGTCGATCTTGAGAGTTGTATATAATGTAAGATTTATTTCCATTGGTTGTAGCTCTTATAGTGTATCAACTGTGATAGAGATGAGAGGTGTTTAGCATCAATTAATTAACATTTTTCTTTCATTAGTTCTTGCAACTAAATGATATATATATATATGTACATATGTGCATATATATCCAATGTATATCACATGAATAAACTAGAGGTGTTTGTTGTGACTAGTCATCATGCAATATGAAGGCCATAATTTCGTCAATCTCTGCAACTTAGTGCATCATTAGGCATGTTGCTAATTCCCCATCAATTATAGAAACAAGCAAGTTTTGTTATGGGAACTGAAGTGTTGGAAATTTAATGCCACTAGTATAGACATGCACAGCAAAAAGGGAGCCTGTTAATTATTGAATGGAAACTTGATGGGACTGAAATTCATTTCGTGGTTGATATCCTTGTCTACAAGACACATTGTGAACCAGAAAGGTTGCTCATTAAACTCTTCTAGCCCTTACAAGCAGCATTTCTAGGAAGGCAGGTTTTTGCATCGCTGTGATGAATCCCTTATGAATTCGTGTGTCATCTGTATTGCTTGTCCTCTCATTATTCTCCAAGTGATTTGATCGAGCACCAGTAAAGTCTATTTGTCCCTTTTCCCGTGCAGGATAATCTCAGCGGGTTTCGTTGGCTTCAGGAATTTGTTAGTAATCAAGTTTTTTTCCTTGGTTCTCCGTGAAGAATTACGATCATCGGGGCGGTGGTTACTGTGCGTTGGACATCTTCAGGAATCCAGTCTCGAACGGCTGTTGTCTATCGATTGTCGGGTGAACGCGTCATGTATCCAGTCCACCTGCTTTTCAACATTTTGGTGAGCACAACGGCGCCTCTGGTATTTAATAGTTGTAGCTCGGAGTGTCTATGATCCTCATTTGCATGTTCAGAGAGACTTCTATCACTACGTTGTCGATTGTGCGACCAACAGCACTGGGTCGTCTCTTATTCTGCGAGTAATTTAAAAGGCTGACTTTCTGTTAACCTCGGCATAAATAGTTGGTATATTTATTTATTTGACCTTATAAACTGAACTTGTTAAGCTGGTGTGAGGTTGGTATAAGTTTTCGTTGTCGTTGTCGTTTATCGTTTTTGTCGTTTTTGTCGTTGTTTATTGTTGTCGTTTTTGTTATTGTTGTTGTTGTTGTTTGTGTTGCTGGTTGATGACTAACGTGTTGGCGATTTCGCCTCCCTCAGAGCCGTCCTGTTACGAGTGGGACTGTGGAGTCGAAGGAGGAAGACGAAATCGCCGTAACGTCGGTCATCGACCGACAACAACGACAACGACGTCATGAACAAATAAGAGAGACAACGAAAACGTATACCAACTTCGCATCAGCTCAACGAGATCAGTTTATAAGGTCTTTCATTCTGTTTGCGTAGCGACCAATACGTAGAAGGATAACAGAGTCGAAAGGGTGGGCACAGGGTCCGGTGCTTTTTCTTATCTTCTCCGCTGCGTCCTCAGTGTTTCTGAAAGCTCTTTCAGGTGCTCCCTTCTCTATGCTCAGCTTAGGAGAAAAGTCGTTCATTAAGTTGACTCTTGGCCTATGGATGTAGCATTCGGAAACACTAATTTTGTTAACCGTTTGTGGGAGTGGGAGAGGAGTCAGTTTTTCATCGGCATAGTTTTCTTCGTGCGGGCGCGTGTGGCGCAGTGGTCAGAGGCACCCTGCAGTACACACGTGGAGTCGATCTTCCCGCCCATGACCCATCAAGCCTTCACCTCCTCCGGGGTCGGTAAGTTAGTACCAGACTTTTCTGGGAGGATAGCAACAGTGGCTCGTCATATCGGTAGGCCACCGCAAGTCATTGTAAAGGCCTGATGTGCATTGAATCACCTCCAAACAATGCTTAATGAAGTCGAATGCATAGCGCATCCCTCAGGGATTGGTCAACGTCGGAAGCTTTATGCTTTTATAGTTTTCTTCGTATTCAGTCGAAGTTCGAAGTTAAAAACAGTTTTCATCAAAGCGAAAATGGTAAAGTTGCCGAAAAACGGTTTTCACCCTTATCCTGTTTTAGAGTTAGCATCTCGTTCTTTATAGTGTCGTTAAATAATTTACATAATTTTGCTGAGATGGAATTGCACTGAAGAGTTCCTTTCTTTATATCAATGTTAGCCGTTGTAGATTGTCGATATTACAGTTGTGAAGTTGTTCAATGGCTCAAGGAGGATTTTTATATACTGAGTCCCGACACCCTGGCTCTCTAAAGTACCCATCTCTGCTTCTGTGTTGCATGACTTTTTAAACTTGGTAATAGTGGTACATGACGGTTACTTGAACTCCGGCGATACTTGAATGAGTTCTGTTATGGTGTGGATGTACGCTGTCGAACTGAATTCTTTTCGAAGTTCTACTTGCTGGTTTAGATCTCTTTCGTCTTGTGTTCTCTCATTTCTCTTGAAAGTGACTCGGATGAAGAGTTTGTAGGAAAGAAGTAGGCAGATTGGGCGATAGTTGTAATTGCTGTGTGGTCTCCCGTTTTATGTAGATAAACAATTTTGGTAGCTTTCATTCATTAGGAAACTCGCATTCTAACACACAGTGTAAAGAATGGCGGAAAGTTCTGGTGTTTTCGAATGTAGTCCCTTTTGGACCAATTCTATGCAGTTTTTCACTAGGGCGATTTTATGTTGGACTTATGAAGGAAAACTAAAGGGGTTATATAGTCAGCGACTGTCGAAGATATTAGAGAGGAATTCGTGGACGATTTTGTCCATCGCTTTTCTGAAAGCACTGCTTGTTCATTTTGGACGTTATAGGTTGATGTCTTAAATCTTATAATTGATTGATTTCCACGATTTATATCAACTTTTGTGGCTTTGACCATTAACATTTCTTTCCTACCCAACAACACCTTTTCAAAGGCCAGTAATATTCTCATAACTTGGAGTTTTTGGTGGTTTTTGTATTCCGTTTCTAGAATTTTAAGGATTGCTGTCCTTTCTGCTAAAAAAGAAATTTTTCAATAAAGAAACTTATTAACTTAATCCAATATAATACTTGGAGACCAACAAGATATCGTTTAGCCAACTTTTGATATACTATATTGCGATGAATGTCCTTACATAATAGTGCTGTCTACCATAGGAACCATGATCTTTGGGTTCATGGTAAACTCGGACAGCTCACCGTTTTCATTAGGGCCGTACTATTAAGTGCTAGATCATTTCACACGTGGCATTTCCAGCACGGTGGTATACCTCATATTTTGAACGCAGCTCTAGACTACCTCCCGTGTATTTTCCAGTTAATTGATTGAACAATTCTGATTGAAATAACATGCAGCATACAATTGGCATATAAGCAAACAAGCAAGCAAACAAACAAACAAACAAACGCTCACACATACACGCACGCACGCGTGAATATGACCATGTGCATGCAGGAAGTAAATGTCAATATTACATATCAGAAACAGCGAGACATCCCATGAATCTCCCATCTGTATCAGAATAATTACAGGATCATTCTTGGCTCACGTTGAACCTCAAGATCAGTGTTATACCTTTTTATTTTCTGCCTACTCTAATTTCGCGGCAGGGTACTAAGCGAAATACAACCACAACGTTGCTGAGATATTTGCAAAACTCTGGACCGCAGGTGTCTATGGTGGGGAACGAACGCGCTATTGTCCTTTCCGGGGACTAACGCGTTCACCACCACACCATGCGGTCCAGAGTTTTGCAAATATCTCAGCAACGTTGTGGTTGTATTTCGCTTAGTACCCTGCCGCGAAATTATAGTAGGCAGAAAATAAAAAGGTATAACATTGTGATTTCAGCTACAGCCGCAGCTTAACTGGGTTCTATGCCGATTTGGGCGTCCCAGATCAATCCCGCTGACGGGTGATTGCTATGCCAAAGATCGATAAAAATAGCTCAAGATCAGTATTGAGAAAGGCTGTTCACGTGGTTTCACGATGAGCCAGTGTGTGATCTGTCAGTGAAAAATATCCGTGGTAGACGGACGTACAATACTCACTAGTTTGAATCATGGCATTAGCTTAGTTTACTTTCTTTGCTGAGGTCGCGAAGTTGGTATAAAATGTGTCTGTGATAAGCTCAGTCCTTCTAATATCGTATCAAGTTTTATGATTACGATCAAAGGCTAGCACAGAGCGAAGCAATATTTCTGTATACCGGCTTATCTTTAGCCTCAGTGTGGTGTAATCACCAGTGCACTTCTTCATTGATAAACTAACACGAGGTAGATAACGCATATCAGTGAATGCAGGAGCCACAGCAGCTACAAACGTCTAAAATCTTAGTGATATTCCATAGGAAAGGCGATGTGGAAGTTTGAGAAATGAAGTAATTCGTAAATGGATCACAATGGAATATAAAAGAATAAAGCTCTATACGTTAATCAATCCCTTAGAGAAGCGCCATGTATTCAACCTCATTAAGCATCGTTGAAGGTGATTGAATGCATATCTGGCCTATACAACGACTGGAGGTGGCCTGCCGATGTGTCCAGTTAGTGCTGCTATTCTCGCAGAGAAGTCTGGTATCAATTTGCTGACACCGGAGGAATAGAACGCTTGATGAGCCAGGAGCGCTGTATAGAACCCATATGTATTGCAGGACGCGTGTAACCACTGACCTACACGAGATATTTATAATGGAATATGAACCTCAAGAATGAACGAAAAGAGTGGTGCGCTTTATTCTCCATTTAGCATTTCGGAAAGATCAGGATGTATGATTTACGTGAAAAGAGCGTTCATTATAGTTCATATTATTGTATTAG